CAAGGCTTCTACTGGGGTCCTTCCAGTCTCCATCAACAGCAACCACCGCCGCCGCAGCAGCCAGAGGGGGGGGGGGGAGAGGGGGGGGGGGGGGCGGCCGTTTGTACAGGGACGGGCGGATGGTGGTCTACCGCAATGAGGAGGGCATGCAGGGCATGAGAAGGGGCCCGGTGGGGGACGCGCTCAGCCTCTTGCTCGACGACTATCCCTCCCGCATCCTCTCCATCGCCTCCCTCGCCCGCCTGGGACTCCTGGTCCTGACGGCCACAGGCCTGGCGTATCTCGCCGTGGTCCCCCGCAACGCCCCCACGGAGCAGTACAACTACCTGTTCAAAACGAACCTCCTCCTCGTCTCCGCCTCCCTGGCCTGGCCCTCCCTCCTCCTCTGCCTCATGTACAACGCCCGTGAGATCAACGTCAACTACCTGATCCGCACTTTCTTCACCGCCGCCACGGCTGGATACCTGGGGTCATTTTTGACGGAGATCGTGGCCGCCACGGGCCTCAAGCTCCTCGCCTTCTACCGGCTGGAGCCCCACATGCAGGCGGCCTGCCCCGAGATCCCCTCCATTCACCTGCCCTGGGTGTGGAAGACCGATTGCGTGAGCTACAGGCCCAGGCTCCTGACTCTGTTGATCGCCGACCTCGCCATCAACTGTCTTGCCAGCCCTATCATCGAGGAGGCCGCCAAGCTGCTCTGCTACCAATGGGGAGGCTGGGTCCGAGCCACCACCCCGCTCCAGGCGCAGGAGCGTGAAGAACAGCGTCGGCAAAGGGAACAAGACCAGACACAAGAGCCGGCAGGCCCGAGCGAAGGGGCAAACCCTGACTCGTCTCTCTCTCCTGAGGCGGTCGGCGCCTGGGCCCGTCAATCCCCCCCAGACCGTCCTCGCAGACGGCCCCTCCGACGCCTTCTCGCCGGCATCCTTTCCTTGCTCTTGGCGCCCTTGTCCGCGGGTCCCGGCGGGCGTCGGTACCGTCGACCTGAGAGCGTGCACTCTACCTTAGTGTACATGACAGCGGCCGCCCTGGGGCTGAAGGCAGCGGACAACGCGCGTCGCATCCTCGTCTACACCAGGCCTCAAGATACCTCAAAGCCGTTTTTCGCACTGGCCCGGGGATTCTTTCCCGTCCACGAGCTTTGCGGGGCATTCACTGCGCTCAACCTCGTGCGGCGGGACATCTTGGGGGAACGCATGTCGTGGATTCGCCTGCTTGCACCTGCCGTCATCCTCCACTCCATGGCCAATTTCAGGGGAATGAAGCCGATATTTAAATGGGCTTCCTCTTCGCCGTGGACTGAGATGCAGCTCCAGGCGTTGAGCGCTCCGGACTATGCCACAGCTTTGCAACAGATATGGAAAGCCGTTTGGGGACTGGTGTGGTTCGCGGTCTTGGCGCGGGTGCTGGGGTACATCATGTTCCGACATTATCTGTTGAGCAAGCAAGTCCGACTCCGGTATGCTGACTACCGGTTTTAGGGGAGAAAAGACTTGTATCGACACATGTATAGGTTGGTTGCCTTGGAATAGCGACAAACAGTGTACATGGAAACAAAAAAAATGACTTGAGAAATAGAGCGGCGTGAGCCGTAAAACGAGCCGTATCCCAACACTGAATTAACATGAGTTAAATCTCTCAGTGAATTCTTCCGATTTATTTTACCTCGATCATTTTTGTCAATCAGTTGTTCCTTCCTCGTTCCGGAACCATTTTGCTCGCTCCATGACGTTGTGCCTTAAATCTTCGCTGAAGACCATATTTCCAAGTTGCCGCACATCCGATACCCACGCTAGCACTGCACCAAGACAGGGATTCATGTCTCCCGAAGACGAGCCTGTTGGGGAGCAGTTTTCCTGTCGGGTCGTTGATGACACCCTAGCATGGCTGTCACGCGCTGTCCGTGAAGACGAGAAGGGCTACTTGGTCGGGCACGCATGTCCGGGCCGGCGCCTGCCCGACGTGTTAGGCGCACTGGCCCGACGCAAGAACAGTGAGACTTGGATGGATGATGCAAAGGTAATCTTTGAGGGCCTACAGGGTGAGCCACATCAACATGGAAATGAAATATTGATGATCGGATTACAGACGTTATCATTGCTTTTGTTACATCTGCTTCCCCAGGAGCTTCAATGTCACCTGCCCGCTGGCTTACAAATAGTGGGGCTTTATGGTCCCTCCGCTATTGAGGATACGAGCCTCCCTAAAAAATTGCAACTTCCTTCCCCTGGCATTCTTGCTGGAATTGAAAATAGCTCCCTCGCTTTCCGAGACTTGCAGGTTCGAACGGGGGTTGTGCATCCTGGCTCGTGATAACAAACAAATCCATGTTCCCTGCAAGCACTTTCTTATCTGCATCTTTATGCTTTCTACTAACTTCCTTCTTCGTACAAATATAAGGGTAGCATTGTCGGAGTACAAGCGACCGATGGCCTGAGTCTGCTGATGGCGGACTACGTCATATTGCGCCTTCCATGGAGCTTACCAACCCATTGGGACGGCAAATTTTCCGAAGAATGCTTGCATCTTTACTTCGAGGCTGTTCCTGACGCAAGCAAAGGAGGCGGCAGAGTGTTGCCCGTGCCTCTTGGTCACTCCTTTTGCTCGAAAGCCCCCGCTCTCGTGGACGTCTTCTCCCACGCCGCGGTGGGGGGAGCCACTGCTGCAGACGCAATGGCTAGAAGAGATGGCCCTGACGCAAAGCAAAGGAATGCTAGGAGCACAAGTTCGGGCAAGAAATGTAGGAAGGCAAAGGGGGCCGGTAAGGGTGGAGGGAAAAGCCAAGGCCTGGCTGGGGGAGTGGAGGCGGTGGAGGCTCCTGTCACTCTTGACGACATGGTGCGCTACACCCCTATTGGTCCTGTCTTGGACGTAATACTCTTGCACTCCCTCTCATCGGACTCCCCCAAGCAAAGCTACGGCGCGCGGATGGCTAAGAACGGGTGCTTCAGGCACCCAACGGCCATGATGGTCGATAGTGGAACCGAAGGGAAATTCTGCGGCATGATAAAAGGCGACTTACTTGTGTACGTGGCACGGAAGGCACTCTTCGCGTCAGTCAAAGAAAGCATATTCGCTGGCATGCGGCGGGGGTGGCACACCGCCCGTCGAAGTCTACTGGCAGCGAAGGGGCAGTGCCCGTGTGCCCCTTGCTGGGAAGTAAGGCATTTCTATGCACTGGACCCCCGCCACGGCCTTTCAAACGCTTGTTCTCCCCTCGCTTTTCCTCTGTCCATGACTACAGCCCTTAGCCTCGTCGGCGCAGACGGAATATGCTTCCCCGGTCAAGAAGACGACCGCTCAGACCTGCTCGCAGCAAGGAAGGCGGTTCACGAGCGACTGAAGTTGCCGCTCAACAGGCCAGCGTTTCGTACTACATGTGCCTTACGGCTTGCTCCGTCCGCGCTCAGCGTCGGGGACGAGGGGGCCACGGGCGAGCATCAGGGTCCACGGGTGCTGCAGGACGTGCACACGGGCCTTTCCCGGTCGAGCGTGGCCGATGGGGCCCAGCACCTGGTCGACGGCTCGTACCTCTTCTACCACTACCTGGTAGACCACGTTGACGACAGGGGGTGGGGCTGCGCGTACAGGTCATTGCAAACCCTGGTCTCCTTTTTCCGTCTGGCGCACTACACCACAGTGCCCGTGCCCTCCCACCGAGAGATACAGCAGGTACTGGTCGACATAGGCGATAAGGCGGATGACTTTGTAGGATCTCACGAATGGATCGGCAGCATGGAAGTAGGCTACTACCTCGACCAAGCGCTAGGCCTTGAGTGGCGAAGCGTCTCGGCGCCGTCAGGATTGGGGCTCGCGGAGAGGGCGTCGGAACTTGCCGCGCACTTCGACTCAGAAGGGACGCCTGTTATGATGGGCGGGGGCAGTCTGGCCTTCACTTTGCTAGGGGTGGACTTGAACGAGGCAACCGGAGAAGTAGCCTTCTTGATCCTGGACCCCCACTATACGGGGCCCGAGGACTTGGAAGTGGTGCAACACAAAGAGATGGTCCTTGCAGGACGCAAGGCCAGGGCGTGCGAATGGCGATTGCCGGCAAGCTTTACACAAAATTGTTTTTTTAACTTATGCTTGCCTCAGCGGCCGAAATTGTATTGACCTGGTCCGCGCACGGCTTGAAGGGCACGTAAAATCTTTAAAGTATCATTTGTGAATGCTTATGTCCGAAATCGCTGTCTTTTCGTCGTATTCCTCTTTCTTGTTCTCGGTCAGCTTATGCTTTAAAAGGAGCGCGTCCACCTCCTCAGGCGTTAGACGCGTCAGCTGCTCTTCCACAATGGGCTTACCGCAGATGGGATCAAGTACCTGCTTTCCCCCCCACCCCTCCGTCTCGATGTAACGAAGATAAGCAGAGAAAAGTGCGGGCAAACCTGAATTCGGGCATATGCACCAATCCTCTCTCTCCATGTGGCGACCTGAAACAATACACATTGGCAGAGCAGCCGAATGGGGACCTGGGCATGTCAATTCAGTAACTGGGAGAGGGGTGTGGCATATAGGACAGGGTGACACGAGGTCAAGACGCCGGGTGTCGACGGCCGACCCATTCCTGTCTGTGGTCACACTTTGTCGACGTACGATAGTTTCTATTGTGCGACAGATCTTGCGATCTAACTCTTGTCGATATTGAGGTTTTGCAATCAAGAGCGCGGCATAGTAATGCGCGGCACTCGTCAAACCTGCTCGCTCGCACTGGAGGACAACAGACGAAAACAAGCGAATCAAGTGGCCTGGAAAGCACGCCGCGTGCCGAGCAACGCGCAATAAGATATAGGCGACATTTATGTGATCTCCCTGGCGAAGTAGAATTGTCACGAGGAAATAGGAATGCAGCACAACAAAGCGTAATCGAAGAGGCTCGATAGTGGCGAGTGGCATATTTAAACGGGTCAGATCTTGAAGCGCGACATGGACAACGCTGCGAGCTTCAGCATATTTATTGTCTGCTTGCATTTCATCTGCTCTTGCTAAGGTAGCGTCAACTACAAGGGGACCATCTTTCAATGCCACAGAAAGTTGGCTTAGGCATCTTAAGTCTTTCCCCGGTCCTTCGGACAGAAAAGCGACTAAAGTGCTGTACTCTGCGCTTGAAGAGTCTCCCTTTTTAACCACGATGCGCATGGCTTCCTCAATGGTTCCAGCCCTCAAGAACATGGACAATGCCTTATCAATTTGGCGCAATCTGTCGTATAGACGACCGGCATCTACCCACGCATGGCTTTGCAAATGAAAGTCAAGGATGTGCTGAACACTTTTTCCCTTCTCTAACAGGAGCCGTGCGTAGTCTTCCAACGCATGATGCGATTTCGCCATCTCGAAGGCTTCATCAGACTTCTCTGCCAATAGCATAAAATCCAAGCACAACGTAATATCCCCGCGCTCTCGACAATGCCTAGCTGCCAATAAAGCCCCTGTCACACACCCCGCTTCCCGTACTAATGTAAATGCTTTATGAGGGTCACTCAGCAGACATAATCGAATGACGTTGTCACGATCGCCTGCTTTTTCGTAAGCAAGGATTGCGGTTGCGTCCTTCCCGTCTTCTTCGCATGCTTTCGCATACAAGCCATGCAGCTTTTGAGCATTAAGCTCTTCCACAAGCGGAGCCGCATGAGCGAAGTCCTTTTCTTCAATATAAATACAAGCAGCACGCCTTTTCTTTCCCGCACGCAGGTATAACGCTGCTGCGTCAATCTTAGTAGCTTTCGTACTCTCCAGGATACGTGCGCACTCGCACATGAAGTTTTTTACGGATTGATCGCTGCCATCAGTCATGCCGTATTTTCTGTTTTTTTCATCTGTGAATGATAGCACCATGTCCATCCCTTTTTTTACATGGCCAATACGTAGTGTGCATCGGGTACTTCCAATTTTACATTTCATGAGAGACTGATGACATGTTATTGAGCCATTAGCAAGCCATTTTTCTGCTCTTTCATAAATACGAAGGGCCCCCTCATAGTCCCCCTGTTGCATTTCGAGCTGCTCTGCATATTCCAAGGCCACTGCACCAACATCTTGTGGGGCGACAGAGTGAGCCAATTCTAATGCTTGTCGAAATTGCAGCAGGTCTCGATGCAAATCCACGGCAGCTGCTGGGCGCGACGAGGCCAAGAATAGCTTTTCAGCGTGTGAATACCGACCAAATAGGGACGCCACGTGGCCTGCAACAAGGCTCTCGTCTTCAACATGCTGCAGCTTTTCCAGAGCAACGACCATACCCCCGTCCCCCAGTGCACGATAAACCTCGATAGCCATTGGAATATTTACGACTTCTATAGCTTTGCTGCATAAAGCCAGCCAAAATGATCGTTTATTTAAATGATAAGCAAAAGTATTAGCCTTCTTTAGATGCAAAAGTGCAAGAGACCGTTTGAACATCTCAACAAGTGAGGCCTCGCGCTCCTTTCCTCGAACAATGTCGGCCTCTGGATAGGATGGAGCTCGCAAAATACGAGCTTTCTTTTGCCCCAGAAACAGCAGACTGCCCTTACACGCAAGAACAGGTAGCCCATATTTCGATGTCCGGATTTCGTAGGCGACCGGCTTGGTCGTGACATCGCCTTCTTTAGAAATCTCGAGATGACCTACCTTTACAAGACTCGGACCCGCTATGCTAACCGCCAAGTACACATACGTGTGGAGGTAACTCGTCTCATCCAATATGTGCAAAATGTCACGATCGACTGAATCCCAGACAACTTGAGACACTTTTATACCCGTGGGAAAGTCGGGAAGACGAAGAAATAAGCAGTCCGCAGTGTACGCTGCGGGATTGTATAAATAGCACACTTCCCTACGGTCACATATCAGTACACGTGTACCCAAGTTGTTCGGGAAAAATCTTTTGATGGACGGAAAAAGGGGTTGGACAGCTGTAGTCGACACGAAATCCCATGCGTGCAGTGAAAAAAGGTGTATCTACGAATATATAGTTTTAAGGAAAGGATTGAAGTGAGTGCGAGGACGACGATTGACAAAAAGACAGAGGAAGGCGTACCTTTCCACAATCATGATCGTAAAGAAATAGGAAATGATCTGTCATGGCAATTCCCGAAAAATGCGTCTCGGGTGTCTGATAGACTGTTTTGTTGCGCGTGATACGTTGCGTTACATGAAAAAGAGAGGAAATTTTTCAACCTAATTGAAGCAGCTTATTAAAGAGTAAGCCGTACCGGTATCAAACCATCGCTCCAATTTGAAAATATCTTTTCGACTAGTGTACGTATTTTTCCTTTTCGTGCGGCCGATCTGCGGGGCATCTTGATCCAGGGCGTGCAGGATAACTTGAGGCGGAGAGCTTGCAAAGCGTACTGCCGCGTATTGGTCATTCAGGCAGATTTGCAGTACATTCGCAGGATAACTTATCTTAAAAGAATCTTTATTTGATGCTCCTTTTTGTTCGAAAGAGTAAAATGATATCCTTTCGCTCTGAGCTTCCTGACAGACAGCTACGTGACGTCCGCCAACAGCTAGGAGTGAGAGACGTGGTAATGCAGACGCGAAAGAATCTCTCTCGCACGACCCTTGATTTACATTGGGCAACGTAAAGATTGTTTCCGGACTCTCAACACCATCTTTGACGGCTAGTATAATGATACTGTCATTCGTCGAAATGTAAGCCAAGAAATTCCCCCACGTCGCGTAAAGCATGGGCCTACCGTGAAAAAGTTAAAAATGTGTTCGATAATTTGAAACCACAAGAGGTTCTCACAGATACATCGTTATCCAGATTAAAAAAAAATGAAACATGACTGTCTCAGTGTCCTGCTGTCAACGCAGTGACTCGACAAAAATTGATAACTCAATTTTTGGGAATAAGCGAGGGGCAGGAGGTTCTCTTCTACCGTGACGGCTCGGAGCTGCTTCGCCGCAACTCGCTCAGGAAAGGCTTTACTCTGGAACTTGTTGAGCTGTCCGCCAGGCTAGCTTCATTGTCATGTACCCTCAAGTTCCGACATCACATGATAATCAGGCGGCATACTTGTGCGCGAATAGCTATAAAAAATGAATTCAGATGCGGGTGCAGGCGCCTTGGAGCAGTTCACTATTCTTGCGAAGAGCGCCAAGGGAAATGCCTGCGTAGCTCTCATTCAGCAGGTACGACGGGTGGAATAAATGTCAATCAGAAGAGCTCTCCTAGTGCGAAGAACCTTATTTTTTTCGTCCTATTCGTCTCATTGCCTGGTATTCGTTTCCTCAGGTGCTATCCACTCGTAAAATTGTCGTCTTTGGGGAGCTGTTGGCGATGCCAAATTTGGAAGCTGTAAGTTTGTGATAGAAAAACGTTTACCACGCGTTCGTGCGGTAAACGAGTATGTGCTCAATATTCTCATATCACAGCTGCGTGGTAGCGAGCACGAGCCTTATTTGAGGCTTTTGGAGATATTTGCCTACGGGACTTACGCCGACTATCAAAGTACGTGCCTGCGCTCATTCTCCGGTCTAGACATCCGTCTCCAGCCTTTATACGACCTCGTTTTCTTTCGAATGGGTTTCCACCCCTCACACGACTCTTTACGTCTCCTTCTTGGCCTATTTCTATGCCTCTCTACCTCACACTTGGTTTCGCGTCGTCACGTACCACTTCGGATCAGGACAACGCGGGACCCTCCCTCCGCTCACGCCGCCACAGCTTCGCAAACTCCAGCAATTAACTTTGGTGACGCTGGCACAGAAACATGAGGTAGGGAAAGAAAATGTTCGAAGGCTTTTGAGCAAGGCCTGAAATCCAGGGGGGAATTATTCTGCAAGAGGAGTCTGGCGTTCTAGTCACTTATCCCGTGCAAACACGCCCTTCCTCTTGGCTTGGACACACACCAGCAGAATATTCCGTACGCCGTCCTTTTCCGCGAATTAGACATGGACGGGGATGTGCGTGAGTTGGAGGATTTGATAATCGAGAGCATCAACATGGGTCTCCTGACCGGGCGCCTGGATCAACGCGGGGGCCGCTTTCGGATCAAAGGGGCTATCGGGAGAGACGTGCGCCTGGAGGACATCGATGGCATGATGGATAAATTGCAGAAATGGTGCGTAGCTTTCGTTCGAGAAAAGAAGTGGTGCGTGATGGTTGTCAGTAGTTTAAATCCCATGCAAACACTTCTTTCTCAGGGTCGCGAACGCAGAGACGCTGCTTACAAGTCTGGAACAGCGCATGAGGTACGCATGCTTCCGCTTTTTCCTATTATTCAGAGCTTCGGTGGAGGGGAGTTTTGTCGAATGCGCTGGAAGCTTAACATGAGAACGGAAGCATTCTTTTCCTTTGCTGAGCACTGATAACGCCCACGATATCTCTTTTATTTATCTTACACACCTTCATGGTACGACAGCGAGATTCACGACGAACGTTGCGAGCTTGATCAGCAACGACAAGACTATAAAGAGAAACTACAGCACGCCAAAGCCCATCCTGTCCGGGGAGTGAGGGGAGGAGGAGGCGGAGCCGGTGGGTTTGGAGGTCTGGACGACGATGACATGGAGAGTTTTCTGACCGCGGGAGCCAGTGGAGGCCGCAGGAAAGTGGCAAGCGAAGGAAGATACAAGCGAAAAGGTGTACGAGAGCCCATGAGCCGCATGCGAAATAAATAACGAAGAGAGGATGAGCACATGTGTGTACAGTACGACATAGAAAGTTTGGGCTTTGCGTAAAATTGCTATAGACCACGTTGTCCACAATTAGAGCGTTGCCAAATAAAGAAAAACAAATCTTTAGGGAACGACTTACTATGTTTTGATGTGCGCCTTCATGTTTGGCTTGGAGCTTCGAAGCTTCGGGTGGAAAGCCAGCCAGGATATTTCTGACAAATCTACGCCACGTACCGCACCCGAAGCAGTATCGTGCCCTTCCTAGCACTGAATTCCATGCTGCACATGGTAAGGCCATATCCCCTACCATCCACACTGTACCAGCTAGTCGTCACTGGATCTTCAATAATAAGGCCCACAAGTTGCTTTTTATAGGCACGCTGGCAATGGGCCGTTCGATCCGATGCTAAGCCGCTGCGGCAGCCTGAGGCTCGCCAACAATATGGCCCCGCCTCTCTTTGTTCCGGGCTTGAAGGGGTACGCTGTCACCGTGCATGGAATGACTATGCCATTGAGGCCACTTATACATCGCTTTGGATGGTGTGACGATTATGGTAGGTTTCGTGGAAACAGCCCTGGCATTCGTGCAATGAGCTTTACAGATTCACTCCAAGCCATAACTGCCGCCAAGGCCTGAAATGAGCTGTCATCCAACCTCAAAATATGTAATGCGGTAGCAACAATGCCGTGCTAGACCATTCTTTTAGTAGCGATTGAGTCTGTGCATGGATGAGAATGACTTCATTGCCTGATTAAGATCCTTTTGCAGTAGCATACCCCCCTAAAAGTGCTCTGCAAACGCATCTCTATTTCTTCCTTTCAATCCACCTCCAGAGCATTTTCACGGCCCACCATGCTAAATAGTACAAGCACCACACTGAGAGGGCCTTTCTCTCTTCTTGTGGGCAGGATGTCCCTCGTTCGCCGGCCAACGCTGGCGCGCAATGGGCGCGCGTTTGCCGATAGCAGCAAGTCCACGAAGGACGAGGATAGTGGTTCTCAAACTACCATCCACCCTACTCACTCGAATCCTAAGGCAACGCCCGGTGCTGTCAACTCGCAAAAGCCTGACTTTGACTTGATGGTCATTGGATCTGGTCCAGGTAAGCATCTCCAGTGCGAGGTGGCCGCCCTTCTTGCTTGACCCGTGGTCGCCGCCTCACTGGGTCACATTAATCCGTTCTCTCCGCCCGCATGTACCGGATTGTGTTGCCATATAATGATTGGTTGCCCTTTTTATGCGATCGAACGAAGCTCTGACTCATTCCTTTTCGCTCCTTGCGTCGTGCTCGTGTGGCAGCCGCCCAGGCCTGTGCCATCTCCTCCAGCCGTCGCGGGAAAAAAGTGGCCGTGATCGACAAGCCGGGCATGTTGGGGGGAGTCTGCGTCAATACGGGAACCATTCCCTCCAAAACATTCCGGGAGGCCGTCCTCCACCTGACGGGCTACCGTCACCAGGGCTTCTACGGCAAGTCTTACGCTCCTGCTGGCCGAATCAGCATGGAGGGGATCCTGCACCGAGTGTCGATGGTGGTAAAAGGCGAGAAAGACGTGATGCGGAACCGATTTCGCCAGTATGGTATCTCGCATATTTACGGCACAGCGCACTTTACGGGGGAGGAGAAGACGGTTCAAGTCACCTCCGTGGCGGTGGAGGAGGAGGAGCGAAAAAGGAAGCGAGCAGTCGGTACCGCAGGCGCGGGATTGGAAGTGGAGCCTTTTAGCAAGCCTTTCACCACGGAGAAAGCCCTGGTGGCGGTGGGAACAACGCCAGCACGACGGGCAGACTTCGATTTCGACGGTGTACACATTATCGATAGCGACGACCTTTTAAGCGGGTCGCTGCAGCGGGTGCCTCGGGAGCTCATCGTGGTGGGAGCCGGTGTGATAGGAATGGAGTACGCCAGTATGTTCAACGTCATCCCCGGGACACGTGTCACGGTGATTGATGGCAGGCCGGACGTGCTCACGTTCGCGGA